AAATTTTGCATAAATTTCTTATACACAATAATCTTTAAATTTAAATAAATTTCTTATATTTTTACACAATATAAAAAGTTATTAAATTTTTAACAAATTTCCCATATCTTTGAACTAAGTTTTTCTTAAAAGGTATTTTGCTATTTAATCTCTGGTATTCCTTTGAAAAGCTAGTTACACATTTTCTCTACAACATTAGCCAATTTTAATGATTAATAAAATTTACTGCTTATACTCTGGTTAAAATTATTTTAAGAATAAATTACATGTTTCCAATCAACTCCTGTCTCCCAAATAAAATTTGAAGAAAATAAATATTAATTATTTTATTCGTAATCTATATATTTTGGAACAATATTACTAAATGTCCTATAGGGAATTTGGATCCATAATGATTCAAATTCTCTCAATTAGGAATCATTTACAGAGGACAATTTTTTAAGGTTAAAATATCCTATTTAAATTCCAGCATGTATAAAGTAAAGTAAAAAACATTGGGGATTTCAGAAAAATTTTTAGACTCGCAATGCATATGAGGTATTCTATATTGCTGGAATAATAAGATCCCTATGGATTTCATATTCCCTTAACGACAAATACACTCACTTTTATTGTTTAAACTTTCGGGATATTTTTGATATTGTCTAAAATTATATGGTATGGTAGATATATTTTACACGTTTGCTGGCTGGAATCCATTTGCGGCAAAAATTAGATTTTTTTTTAATTAAAAAAAAGATAGAAGAAAGAAAGAAAGAAAGAAAGAAAGAAAGAAAGAAAGAAAGAAAGAAATACGCTCGCAATATCGACTAATTAATTATATACGAATTAGTAATTAATACACAAATGTTACATTATATTATATTACGGACATTGTCGGTAGCATATATGCCCCTTCCTTATTTATGATACATATTATGATTCCTTCCATATACACTAATTAACACATTAGCTCGATTATAATGATCACTTTCATTTGCCATTCTTACTTTTTTTTTAATCTGATGAAGATTTTATATATATATATATATATTTAAATATAAAAAATAAAGATTAAGATAAAGTAGATAGTAATAGAATTTTTTTTTTTTAAATATAAGATTAACCAATAATTTACTTTTTATTATACACAGAGGGAGCACAGGTATAATAAGAATATATAATATTTTTATTATAAAATATAATTAGTGTAGATACAATTTTTTTTCACGCTTAGGTAAATTTTTACTATTATACCGAAATTTTGGTTCATTTCTTTTTATTATCAATTTTAAATTTCTTATTGTTATATATTATATATATATAAAAAATTGCTTTTACAGTTTACTTTTCCTATGGTTAATTCTATCTTTGTTTGTATATATAAATTATAAATTGTATAATTATTTCTTTTTTTATAAAAATTCTTATTTTGCTATAATTATAAAGGAGAACAATTTTTCATACTTTTAATTATAAATTTAAATTTTAGTCTGTTTTCTATAAGTTTTTTGTTATCTTTAAAAAATTTAATAATATTTTTTTTAAAAAAAATGAAGTTAATAAGCAGATAGAAATCTAGTAATGTTGATATCTCTTTAGGTTAGGAAGGTAAACAGTTATTATTACTAGTTTAAAAAAAAGAAAATTTAAACAGATAAGATAAATAGGAGGGGGCCGGGGGTGGAGAGAAATGTCAGTAATCGAAATCCGTAAATTATGTACGGGAAAAAAAATTTCGGACTACGGGCCGGGTCTAAACCTCATTTTTGAAGAAAAACCCACAGGGTCATGCCTACCGACGTCTACTGTAGATACACATTTTATGGGCTAGTTTCGGTATTAAAAAATATATTGATTTTAATGAAAAATAATTTAAATGGAAGCTATTTATTCCGCTATGATTTTAAAATCAAATATCATAATATCCTACATTGTTTAATGTAATTTTAAGGGATCAGAGAGTGGGGGTTTAAAAAATGAATTTGTGTGTAAGGTGGTAAAGTATAAACTTCTCAGATTTATGAAATAAAAAAAAAATAACCCTCAAATTTCAAAGTGTTTTATGCGCAACGTGATGATTTAATGAAATATATTGACGATTAAATTAAAACCCATCCATATAAAAATATAATTTTTTACTGAGGATTTCTCACTCTCCTCCCCTTGGTTGTCAATAAATTACTGACCTATGCAGATCATCAGTCATTGCAAAAATAATTAAAATAAAGACAAAGCATTACTGAAATTTCTTTTATGTACATAATCCTTTTTGTTATTTTAATTATTTTTGCAAAGATTATAATTTTATATGGATATGGGTTTTAATTTAATCGTTATGTTTCATTAAATCATCACAACACTGTAATCGATAATTATCTTTTATCTCCTTTCTTATTTTCATCTTTTTTTTCTTTTTTATTTCATACGCAACATAGGACCAGCATGTCTGGCCCGAAACCCCGCTAGAAACGGGTGGTAAAATCTTAATTTTGAAAAAAAATCTGGACCGGTTTGAAAGAATGCAGATCCGGCTCATGTCGGACCTAAAAATCTATTTTTTTTGTTACAAAACTCGGGTCGGGAAACGATGAAATCCATTTGGATATCGCTAAAGTCGATATTTGAAGTATTGATATTTTTTTATACTTTTGATATAAAAGAATAATTTTATTATAAGAGAAGAAGGTCAAACGTTCTTCTTCCGTTAGGAACATTGTGAATCCCATACAACAGTGGCACCGTTTTTTTAGAGGCAAGTAGTATGGAAGTTATCACTAAAGAAAAACTTAAATTAAGCTAGCCTCTTCGAAATAAATTTGCTGACTATACTTATCTCTCATATTTGCTATTTTAGATTTTACGAATACCCTGTTTTTTTATGTTGTACGATAATTTTGGACCCATATACGATTCAGTCATTTGACTCTCCTTGCTTAAAAAAAATTCTCTTTTAGTTTTTGAGGACTTTTTCATCCTATGGGGATGTCGGGGTCGGCGAGATACCTCACTTTATAAACAAGATAAGGTTTCATAAATAATAATATTATCATTTTATTTATTTAATTTATTGGCGCAATCAATAGTTTAAACCTTTTTTTCTTCTTCTGAGGAATAGAAGATTTATATCCAGATAAGCCAGGGGTTCGTTATTTCCCTTTCGCCCTAAAATGTAACCGAAAGGGATTAATCGATCACTTTGATTGCTAATTGTCAATTCATTTTAGAGACAGCTAATGTCTTATTTAAATTTCGACAAATTAGCTCTAATTTTTATCTGCTTTTTTAAAATATATATATACAAAAAAATTGTATGAGGCTTTCAAATTTAAAAAAAAATATAGATATATACAAATTAAAATTATTATATACAAGTTTTCTAAACACATTATAAATTTATAATGGCATTATTAATACAAAATAAATTATATTTTAAAACAAATTCTTTATAATCATAATATTTTAATTTTTAAACTGCTAAAAGTTTTTTTTTAGAAACTAAACTTTACATAAATAACTGTAAAAAAAGAGAGGTTTAATAAACTTTTTATTAAAAAAAAAATATTAGGCTCTATCAAATATGCAACCAATTCATATTAAATTATATACATTTTATAACTTATATTAAAAATAAAAAAGTGAGATAATGAAATTTTTTAAATTAAAGAGAATTGAAGGAAGCAATAAGTGAAGTGAAGAAGATGGTGAATTAAAAGATAAAAAGAAATAATTTTAATGGAAAAAGATTAAATTAAAAATGAAATCTAAAAAAGTTTTTATTTGTTTTTTTTGGTAATTATTATAAATTAGGCACTATAACAATATTAAAATAATTAATTTTTTTTTTTGGAAAGAAAGAAAAATTTATTAATGAAGTAAAGTGTCAAAGAGATTGGTAGAATTTCGCGAGGAATGAAGGAAGTCTATTGGTTTGGTGATATGGATGAAACTTTTGTTTAAATTATTAATAAGTTCTCTTATTAATTAATATATTTTTTCCTAAAAGAGGGATTTCTTTTTTTGTGGTAGGTTTATTTATATAATATAATATGTAAAATTGAATTTTTTTTTCAAAATTAAATTGATTGTAATGATATTTTAATTTTAGTAAAGAAAGAAAGTAAGAAAAAATAGGCAACAATATGCTGCTCTGTAATAGATACATTCGTTTTTTAGTGTTAAATGAAGGAATTAACAAAATAATGAAAACATGGTGTATTTATTTGCTTTTCTAAGCTGACATTTTTCTAATAGATTTATTTAGATAGAGATGGGGGTGTGGGAGGTGGTGGTTAATGTACGCAACAAAGCTTTGTGGAGTAAGAATTTTGGAATATAAATTTTATTAAATAGCAAATTAGGAAAAAATTATATACTCTATATCATGTAATATTCTTAATTATATTAAAAATTTATTTAATTAAAATTATCATTATAAAAAAAAATTTTTTTAAAAATTAATTTTTTAGATATAAAATTCGTGATTAAATTATGCTTTTTTTTGAGTATGTTATAATAATTATTTTTCCGATAATAGGAAAATGAGTATTTTAGCCTCATTTTCCTATAAAAAATAATTAAAATTTGGTAATTAAAGAAAGTGCAATATGAAAAATGCGGTGTAATATGATTTCTTTTGTTAACAATACTTCAGTCTGCATAGGGATGATAAAGTGTCTTCTCCCTCGCGCGTCCTTTCAATTTTGAACAGGTCTTTCCCTTGGGTAAGAAAGAGGGATCTTAACGAACGTTCTAGCATTCTGATATCTTTTCAGAAGATTAAATTATATTAAAAACAATTATTTTTTTAGCAAAAATGAGAAAAATTTTTCATAAAATAAATAATTTAAAATGAAAGAAATAGAAATAAATTAAAAATTTACCTCCAGTCCAAAATGGGAGTATTATATATAGTTTTATAATAAGTTCTGAGTTATATAGGAAGAAATGAAAGGAAGGAAGTTGGTTATGACCCCTCTCTTTTTAAAAATAATGATAATTTTTTTTCTCGAAAATTTTAGATTTAGCACAATCATCCTCTCCAGTCATACTTCCACCACCAATCATGCCATTTTTGGACCCCGTAACAGAAAACGATGGGTTCTTATCTGATTCTTCTTTCAGTGGAGACAACATAGATGACGAGGAAGTTGAAAATGTTTTGTTGGTGGACAAGATTTATGCTAAATTATCGCCAAAATCCTTATCTTCGCCAAAACCCTCGGCAAAAAACCATCTTGACGGGAAATATCAAAATGATCAGAATCACCATAGAATAAATAAAGCTAATGCTAAACATTTAAAATCCTCTCCCGAGGAATCTAACAATGAATTTTTAGACTTGAGCGCATTAGCAAGCGATAAAGTGGAGTTACCGTGCCCGGCCCTCCAAGCCTATTTGCGCGTTAAACAAATGCTTCCTTACAAATCTAGATTTTTATCATCTTCGACGACTACTTTTTTACCACGATCAATATCTGGGCCAGTTTTGAATACCAAAAATAATGACAGCAAAACACCACGCTACAACGTCGTGGTAGACACCGATAACATAGTGACCAAATGGTTCAAATACGAACCTGGGCAAGATGGACTATCCGCGGACGAAAGATTGAACATGAGGCGTTTTGACAAACAGGAAGCCGATTATCTTCGCGGGAGAGTTGGAAACGGAAGATCCACGGGAGAGTCCCCAAAAAATATTCAAGGCAGTCGCGATAAGACTGTTAAAGGAAGTTTGAGCCCTATATACATAGTTCTCATACCTTATCCGCCTCATATCCGAACTGATTACATGAACAGGGCTTCTTTCACACCCCAAACTTCGGCGTTGACCATTTCTAATCTCACTATCCAAGATAAAGGAATATACATTTGCAAGGTAAAAAAAATAAAAGTAAAGAGAGAAAGAAAGAGAAAGAAAGAAAGAAAGAAAGAAAGAAAGAAAGAAAGAAAGAAAGAAAGAAAGAAGAAGAAATATTAGAAAATGTAGAGCAAAAGAGTTAGAGAGAAAAAGAAAAGAGAAAAATAAAGTAAAGAAGTAAAAAGAAAAGAAAAGTATTTGGGGGTCAATGATTTTATTTCAATTAATGCTTTTAATAAAATATTATTCGAATATATCTAACCTCAATTTTCCCTTAGAAAAGAAAAATAGTTATTAATTAGCGTAAATGATTTTGTATGCCATTTTTATAATAAATTCTCAAATAATGTATTATTTCTTTAATTTATTACCAATGCTTTTGGCCATATTATCATATCAAAATCAATTAAAGGCTTCTGAAATTTTGAAGATTCTTTCGTAAAAAAAAAAAATTGAAAAATTATTATTTAAAATTTGTTTATTATACTTACTAATTAGTGAAAAACACGGATTTTTTTATTGTGTTTAAAGATATATATTATTGGATAAATTGCTGCCTTAATTAATTGGCTAATCAAAAAATAAGTTTAATGCCTCCATTTCATTTGTATTTTAATATAATGTTATGTATATATTATATATAATTAAAAATTAAGAATTAAAAAACATATTTAGCAAAGAAGTTTGTTTTACATATTTTTTGACATTTACTACTTATTATTCTTATTAATGATCTGCATCGGGCCTAATTTTTCAAGCCCGGCCCAGACCGAATTTTTTTAAAAAAAAATTGAAAAATTATTATTTAAAATTTGTTTACTATACTTACTAATTAGTGAAAAACACGGATTTCTTTTTGTGTTTAAAGAAATATATTATTGAATAAATTGCTGCCTTAATTAATTGGCTAATCAAAAAATAAGTTTAATGCCTCCATTTCATTTGTATTTTAATATAATGTTATGTATATATATATATAATGAAAAATTAAGAATTAAAAAACATATTTAGCAGAGAAGTTTGTTTTACATTATTTTTTGACATTTACTACTTATTATTCTTATTCATCGGGCCTAATTTTTCAAGCCCGGCTCAGACCGAATTTTTTTAAAAAAAATTTGTCCTACCCGGCCCGATCTCGAACGAAACTAAATTTTATTTGTCCCGAAAAGCCCAACCCGAAGTCCACTCAGCCCGGCCCAAATTTATTTAAATTTAGAAAAATATGCTATTTTTATTTTGTCAGTCATACAAAATAATCAGAGGTTAATATAATTTTTTTTTGATTGTAAAAAAAAATTAATATCAAATATTTAAAAATTTAAAAATTTAAAGCCCCGAAATTTTTAAAAATATTAGGCTCGACAGTTGACACAGTCCGAACCGAAATTATTTTTTTAAAAATAAACCGGTTTCGTGCCGGAGACCGTGATTTGCAAATCTCTAATTCTTATTCTTAATTTAATATGGTCTTGATTGGGGATAGGGGCACGTACTTCCAAAAGGAACCATTTAAGACCAAAAAAAATTATATATATTACACATCACAAAAGGTAGTTTTGTTAATATTTAACTTTGCCTAACTCTCTGACTTAAACAAGCTAGCCTACAAAATTGAACCTAGACTTTCTAAGTTAAGCCTCTCTTAAGATAAAAACTTAGCTAAGCCGTTTGGGAATCGATCAAAAGTTTGGGCGATTTTAATAACAACTAGCAAAGAGATTTTATACGTTTTATAATATCAAAATATAATCGTTTTTGAGATGCCAATAGTTCGTTTTTTTTTTCGCAACTCAAGTGGAGCCCGCTTGCGTTTATATATTTCTCTTTAAAATGTCTTCGCGCTGTAGACTTAATGTATGTTAAAACTGATCGTATATCACATTTTCCGCTTTGCCTAGCGTTTTAAAATATCCCTCGAAGAAACTATGTTTATTTTTTTTCAGTCAATGGTGTCCCTTTTCAAAAATATATTTTTATCAATTTTAATTGATCGACAGAAGGACACCACGCAAGTGCATAACCCACGAATCATTTGAAGGAAAAATAAGTTAAAGTTATAAAAAATAAAAGCATTTTTATATTTAAAAAAAAGGTGAAAGACTCAAAAGGTCTACAATAAGTGGACCTTCAATAAAATTTATAGCGGATGCCCTCACCTAATAATGCATTGCCCCCTCCCCCCCCCCTCCATATATCTAGATACGCCTATGACATTACGTTTTTGAAAACAATTATGCTTTAAAAATATTATGCGGCTAAAAAAGGTTATATATATATAAAATGAGTGGCAACTAATACAGTAATATAATTATATGATTTGATGCTACTTATTACCATTATATTGATAAATAGCTTTCTTATAAAATTGTTTTAAAACTTTGCTGGTAATTATTGTAAAAATGGGATTCCCAATCATATTTGTATCTTACTTAATGTTCAGAGACTTGCAGAAGCCAATTTTATTTTAGGACTGACCTAACCTTCCAACCCCTTTTTAAGTTCGGCCCAAATTTTTTAAAAATATCGTGCTAGCCTAGCCCTGTGTTAGTATTTTGTAAATTGGTTTTAAACGTAATTGAAGAAAAATACGAAGGATGAAAATAGATGTTAAATGATGCATTATATGATTTTCCAATTGATTAATTGGTATGTATAAAATTCCCTTTTAAAAAATCGGCCGCATTCCTGCTCGGGTTTTGGAAATAAAAATCCCGGTTTGAAATTTTTGCAATACCCGGTCAAGTCGGGTACCGGTTTCGGTTCGACCTTTAAATCGCTTTAATTTCACCCAATCTTAAAAAAAACACAAATTTAACAGATAAAAAATGTAACAATCACTTTCTTTTGTCAATTAGTATCCCCCCCCCTCCCATTTTAATCAATTTGTTTTGTATTTTTTTTCCCTTTCAGATCCACCAAGAAAGACGGAAACATGTCATCGTAAAAAAAAATTACTTCCAATATTTTGATTAATAATATATTGTTTCAATATGATTTTTATTATATTTTTTTTTATGAATATTTTAAAATATTGTTAAGGAAGGAGAAAGAAAGACAAATAAATTTTCCTTTATCCTTTTTTTTATGCATTTGAATATGATAAAATGAGATTTTTTTTTAATAGTATTTTTTTTTTACTCTCTCACAAGACACAAATTTTTAATAGACGAATCAGATTGCTCTGAAATCGATTTGAATTTTAGTTGGGGAGAGATAGAAAAAAAAATTATAAATATATAAATAATTTCTTTTTTCTTAAACAAAATATATTGGTTATATTAATATGATACATTATGATGATCGATAATTGTGACCAAATTATTAAATAGGCTTGCGGTCAACTTGAAACATTTGGAAGGAAGGAAGGAAGTTATAAATACTTTCTATTCTAATTTACTTAAAATTTCGAAAGATTTTGCAAAACTGTTGATATTTATATATATATAATATATAATATATATCCTATATAATTTTACAAATTTAACGATTATATATATAAAAATATAATTATTTGAAAGTGAACACACTTCCCCAATTCTAACATCCCTATATTATCTAGTTTCATGCGTGTGGCCAGAAATTTGCAACTTAGAAGAATAGTTTATTTTTAAAATACCTAATTTCGCAAATTTTTTAGAACCTAGTGATTATAAAAACAATGACACTAAATAATCTGCAAAATTATCAAATATAATTTTTAAAAAGATAAATTTATCCTCAAAAATGCTGTTATAAATAATAAATATGTATATAACCCGCACATTTATGTTAAAAACTCAGTTTTGCCATTTTTGAAATCGGCTACCAGCATGAATGGAGCATTTAAATGTTTGCCGAAATAAATTTTCTACAAAAAGTAACTTTTTTTGAAAGCTTTGATTTATCTGACTTAAATTATCAAAATAGGAGGATAAAGATATTTATTATAATTATAATATTCTTCCCTAATGATGTTTATATTTGAACGATGGGGGATATCTTAGTACGAATCGAGGTAGGCAAATATCAAATTCACAATGCTTTAGTTTGAACTCTGTGCTTTCATATAATACTAAAATTTTCATCGATGATTTTTGAAGGGTATTGCATTAAATACTAATATATTTAACTGATTTGTTTATACATTCTACTTTAATGCAAAAAAAACAAAAATTGAATTTTGAGAAGATATTTTTTTTCTGACCATTCTGTCATTTCCACAAGAGCACTTATAATAGCCTTATCCAACTCCATAAAATAAGTGACTAGTTAATGGCGAAGGCTTTTATAAAAATATATTTGGCTCTAATGTGTAGGGGGGGGGATATTTCACCTATCCCTTTCTCCCGCTGACTACACGACGGTCTACTTTACTTGCTTATACAATTAATCATTGATTAATTGTATTGATGTTAAGTCTTTTTATAACGTAAAAAGAATTAGTGTTGTTAAACGGCTCAATTTGAGCCGATTTTAAAAAATGGCTAACTCAATATTTTATCCAGAAAAATATTATGCAAGTCTAAAGATTTTGCTCTTAGATGGTATTGCATTTGTGACCGCTTTTACGAATATTAGAATTATGATCCCTCAAATTTATGAATAATAGAATAACTAGCGACTGTTTTTTTTAAACTTTATTTGCATAAAACAATTTACAAAAACAAGAAAATGAATTTTATAATTTAAAAAAAAAATAATTATCAATCTTTCACGATTTTAAATCCCTATCTAAAAATATATTCAATTTTACAATAATAATAAATTCTATTCCCAAATAAGGTAATCATGACATCTCAAATTATTAACACAAAAAAAAAATGTTTATAATAAGAATGACGCGACGAAAACTAAAATAATTTTTTTTTCTTTCGCCTTCGTCTTCTTTTTCCTTTCCTTCCTCGTGATTGAACCCCGTCAATCACGACAGATGGCACATAGGATTGAACATCTATTGGCGAAATCTCGAAGCTTAAGGCAAAATTTTCAAAAATCGCCTTTTAACAACACTAAAAAAGAAACACTTTTTTGAGAGT